TTGGCGTCCCGTCTCTTCTGCGCTCGCTGCCACATCCCCGCAGCTTGCGGCGCAAACAAAGCCACTCTCTGGTCCCACGGGGGGGGCCCAGCCGAGGCCAGCCGGGGCCGTCTGGGAGAACCAACAATTTCGTGGCTCCTGGGTCCACCTGTGAAGTTCAGAACCACCAGAAGGTCTGTCGCCACTCGGCGTGAGGAACACCGCTGGGGCTGAGCCTCCTCTGCCCCTGTCTGAAGGACATCTTGCAGGGCCGTTTCGCCTTCCCGTAACTGGAGGTACAGAGAGGACCCAGCAGTCCAGCCCGCAGGGGTCCAAGCTTTTTTTCTGACTTTTCTTTTCCCCCGCAGCGCGCTCTGTATAGGCTGCTCCGAGGAGGTGGCATGGCAAACGCCTTTTAGGCGGTTTAACTTTCCCGTTCTCCTCACGTGACGGTACGTCACGCATTTGCTTTTTAATCTGCAGAGGGAGATTAAAATTTAAAGCATTTTCCATTGCAATTAAAATGGCAAAAAACATTTCCAGCCATACAAATTTTAGACTACATGTACTTCTCCTAACAAAGCCTGCCTTTCAGGCCTGAAACCAGCCGAGAGCATTCTTTCCCATTTTATCAACCCGCCTGCAGTTCACTCAGCAGTTTTTGATTAGCGCAGAGACTGAAACATAGGGATCTGTTCTGAATACAGCTCATCCTTGTTAGCCTACCACTCCAGACTATTTTTGTAAAATTCAAAAAATACACCAGTAATATTTCATAACTAACCTCAGTTCGTTCTCAAAGTATTAAGGTAATTTCAAGGATACTTTAAAAATTGTAGGCCTTAGTATTTTTCTAAAGAGATGCTAAGCAAGCCGTCTCATTTAATTTGAGAAGTATTAACAGTGCTTCTCGAGTAACAGAAACATCCAAATTTAGTAAGTTCCACTTGCTAAATTGGGTCCAATCTCAGAGATGTTCCACATCTGCAACTTCTACTGAGTGTGCTGAGCTTTCTGTCATGTTTAATATTTGATGATTCTATTTAAAAAATGCAAGTATTTTCATAATGGGCACATTTGGATACAGTACGCATCCAGAATCATGCATAAAGTATTGAAATAGTAAAATTTATACAGACAATTTTTCAAAGGAAAATTATAATCTCTTTTATGATGCAAGTTTGTTGGATCTAGAACAGTTATGAAATTTTATGGAAGACTGGGTTAGGAGGAAATTTGGTTTTGCTTTGGCTTGATCTTTTTTAATTCTGATATGTAGTACAAGATTTAATCACAAGTACGGCACTGAGAAGAAATTCTGAGGTACTGTGCATTGATATGATTCACCTTTATGAGACACATCAATGCAACATAAAGTGGCTTTAAGGCACTACTAAGCAACATGTAACAAAGACAATATGCATACGTTAAAAAAAATTGACATAAAAACTCTTTTCCTGTTTTTTCTAATTTTTGGAGACCAATAGCATTTCTCAAAGCATCTGCTGTGGAAAGATACTTAAAAATTATAATAACCTACACTTACAGAATTACCTATCTTATGTTTTCATGCTGCTGTCCATGATGAGTACCCTCCATCTGAATCTCTCCTCCAGAAAATCAACTGCATTAACATTCCCTGGTGAACTTCATGGAGGATCTGCTATTTCTTCACATCTGAGTTCAAAACTCTGCTTAAATTACAGTTTCCATTTTCGCAGGGAAAATTGTGTATTCCTATTTTTTTTCTCAAGCATGGCAACACAGATATCAAATGTATTTACAAATGCTTGGTAACCAGATTTCACAAGCCTAAGATGGCAGAATCTTTTTTATATAAACTATATAAGGTCAAATATATTTCTGAGGTATATTCACTAAGTTAAGTGAATTTGGCTCATGGTTAGTAGTTTATAATTCTGGAGGGCAACTTAATGCAGTTTTTACAAAGTTGTAATCATCATCCTGAATGCTTTATTGAAGTAAGTGTTTTGCCTGTCAAATAGATCCACAAATTCATGTTTTTCTCTGTTTCACTATATATTATTTCAGGTTGTGTATGACAAAGTCACAGAGCTCAAAGGCCATATACTGAAGCTTGTTGTGAAAAGCAAAGGAACATTTGTGGGAGCTGTTAACATTCAACTGAGCAGTGTCCAGTTAAATGAAGTAAAGTGGTATCCACTGGGAAACAGTATAATTTAAATGTGTCTAAGATAATTCAATTATTTATCCGCTAATGTTTCTTTATCCCATTTCCCGCAGTACATTTTTTCTCAGTTGCCCTTGAGAATATGCAGTCATCTGCTGATCATATACCTTAACATCTCTAATCATAAAGCTATTGTCTTAAAATTTCTACCATCTTCCTGCAACAGATTCCTGTCAGCGTGAGTTTAAGAAATCACATGCTAAGAACTTGTAGCAGCATGCAGGAAATTCTTATGACAGCATGAAATATTTTTGGTTTATTCATATTAAATAGTACTGTAAAAATACTGAATTCTGTACACATCAAAGTATGGGGCCTAATTCTTTGCCCATTAATTCCACTGACTGTGTTGAAACAATGCTGATAATGATGTAATTTATCAGCATCTGCTATGACCCCACTGCATATGATGATTTCACCAGAGAACCGTGGGATGGTTCCCTGGGTGCTAATACATTTCAGATGTCTAGCAAATTTCATATTGAATCTTATACAATCAGTACATTAAAAAAGAAAAAAAAATTAAAAGCTTTGCACTTTACACATTTTGTGCAGTATATATTGGTGTGGGTTTAACTTTTGATATAATGTAACATTCAACCCAGGATATTAATTTGTCAATAAAATATGTCATTGTTTCTTCAAGAAGCAGATATAACTGGTCATTTGTGAGAAGAAGAGAGGAGGGAGAAGCTAATATTCACAAATAAATAAAACATATTGATTGTGAGCTTTCAGTGTGGTATTTATTTAAGATCATGCTATAAGGAATCTTTGTTCACCAGTCTTACCGCATTGCATTCTTATGCTTCATAAGGGGATCAAGTCAATACATGCATTGACCTCAGGGCTATAAAATGTATATATACATATTAAGCAATGAATATGAGCGGTTCCTTTGAGTTCACTGAGGCTAATAATGAGATCTGTTCTTCAAAGCATTTTTACCTAAACTGAGGAAGCACTTAAGCACATCTTTAAACATTTAGCATGTGAGCAGGCGTAATGAACTGTCCAATATTGCCAGCCTCTTACACACACATAGCTGACCATATATATGTACCTTTCCAAGACCAAGGGCACATTTTTAAGACACAGGAGACATGTTGATTTGTGGTCTGATCTGCTGTAAAATTTTAAGTTACCATGTACTGAGTAGGTCTGACATTTGTCCTACCAGGTGGAAAAGTGGTCAACAGAGCCAGAAGATAATTGCTGCCTTCTCCCAAAGGACACTCACAAATCAGTCTTCAGAAGGTAATGTTGTATAGAGCTCCTGAAGTGGGACTAGGAGTGTTATTTAGGAAAATAAATAAGCTGGAATTTTTCTCAGCGTCAAACCAATTGACTATGTCGCTTGGTCAGTTTTTATCTGAGAATAGATAAAATGAGTGCCTGGGGAAATTAAACTCCTCCTCAGTAATGGGAGGTGGGGGGAACTCTGTTTGAATATTAATATTATTGGTATCCTTCAGAGCTGAAAAAAAGCTATAAAATATTTACCCCATGAAAGGGATATTGGCTAACATGCAGATACGATCGCTACAAAGATCAGTAAGTCTAACATTTTAGATTATAGGTCCTCCTGGGTAAAGGATCAAGTGACTTGTCACTCAAGCACAGAAAACACATTGAGGCCAGCTTACAACGTTATCAAATTACCTGACCTTACGGTTCAATATGGATTTTAGATTCTTCTTAGTCCACTGTCTTTGTTTCCTTATTATAACTATAATCCAATTTTCTAATAGTGTTATTTCCTGTGACATTTCTAATCATTATTTACTGCATGCCCTGATTTTCCATCTTAGAAGAACATTAAATAAAATAGCATTAAAATGGTATTAAATAAAAAGAGCATTAAAATATAATATTATCAGAACTGTCTGCAAACATAAGCAATACTGTTTGGTATTAAAGAAAGAAACCTATCAATATAACATCCTTTAAAAAAAAAAAGCCATGTTTCAGTAACAAATCTGCAATTAACTGGGTAGATATAGTCCTGTGGAAGCTCAACAATACTTCAGTGTTGTAAGGGAGATGGGAAAATTGTGTCTTATGGGCAAGATCTGCACTGATAACTATGTCAGGCAAGAAGTTGTCCTCAGAGATCTTAAATCACACAATCAAACCTTGCCTTTTCTAAAATTCTTCTAGCCCAACTCAGAGCATTGTGCTGCCTATTTCCTGACTTCACAGTAAGATATATCCTGAGTTCCCTGCTGCTATGAGGAACACAGTCCTTTACAAACCAGTCTGTGAATTCTTTGTCTGTCTTTAGCAGGAGGAGGTTCAAACTAAGCTAAGAAAAGGTGCCGATATTAACATCTGAGTTTTTACAATTTTAAGATTTTTTTTTTCTCAAAACTATTTTTCCAGGTAGCACAATTACAGCGGACAATAAAGAGGTATATCCCAATCAGAAGTTGCCGTTATAAATTTTAAGGGTACATTGTATGTGTAATTTTTCCTGTTCCCTTGGAAAGATACAATGGTAGGAAATTTTGTTCAATACAAATAAAAATGTCAGTGTAACATTCTCATAATTTTCAGTCTCGAATCATAAATACTAGACAATTATTGTCACTCAGCAATTAGTCATAATTTTGAAATTAGCTGCAAATGTAATTATTAACTGAATTTTAAAAACTTCCCAAAAAGTTCAGTCTTTGAATTAGTTCTGAAATAATGGTGGGGCCAATGTCAGTACTGTTGCTTGTTCAGGATACCATTTACTCACAAAAGAAGTCCCATTAGCTTAATAATCTCATGGAGAACGTGCCACTGCGGAAATCAGACCACTGAGTTGTTGCAAGCCTAGTGATGTTGCTTTATTGAGCAGGGTGTAATCCTCCAGAACAACTGCTATTGCAGAGCATCATTAATAGTACCAGACATGAACAAACAGGGATGCAGGTTCGAGATTGCCACCATCTTTGGACAACAGGGGAATGTTACGGTAACCTGTAAATATAATGACACTTTATTAGTGTATTAACCACAAATGCAAAGATTAAGATGGTGTGGTTTTATGATCTATGATGCAAATAAGGCATAATTGATAATTCTCTAAACAACTATTTAAAATAAACTGAAATTGATGCAGAACCCAAATCCCGTTTCAACTGGTTTTGTCCTCGACATATACAGTATTTCAATTCTGGTATTTTTGGACACAGAGTGGAAAACTCCAGTGTCTTGCAGGATGTGGTATTTTTTCAAACTGAAGACTTTTAGCACATTGATACTTAAACATGGGGAAAGCATACATTTTAACATCCAAAGATGTTATGTGCTGCGTGCATTGTTCTGATATAGCGAATTAAATAACTTGTGAATCAACAGTGACGGTGCCTTGGAGAAGAATGGTGTTGCAGCAGTAATGTACTGTCCAGCCGAGGCAGAAAAAAAGAGTAGTGTAAGATGTTCTACCATGACATCTTAAGTCTGTTAAGGATCTCCTTTTACATATGAGTGGCTCCCAGTATCAGAGATAAGACATACCTCAAAAGCTACATGCTCATCTTGTTATTGAAGCATTTGGAGAAGCTATAGTTCTCAACTTCAAATTTCATTAACATACTTTCTCAGAAAACAAAACAATCCCCTCTCCAAAACCCCAAACTTGTATTGCTTTATATGACTGCAAGTGTCCATCATGTCATAATAATAAACAATGTCACTTTTGATTTTAAAAAAGTTCTGTGTTCTATCTATGTATATATAACTGCAGTTATTTAAGTAAGTATCTGTTATGAATAAATATCTATGTTCAGAACTGCAGTTTTCAAAATCCTTTAGCTGCATCTGGATGTGTGTGTATTATTTGGGACCCTCATTTATGTGGGTTTTTATTTTCTTGATTCTTTTATACAATATGAAAGTTCACCTGGCATCTAATCGTCACCTTCTGGGCAGCAGATACTAAAGCTGAGTCCAGCCAATATATATTTGAAATCAACTTTTAGAGTATGCACACATTATGTGGAAGACTTCTTTTGTTTCTTGTTGAAAGACACACTTTGAAGACTAAGACTCCTTTCTGAAGACCTACAAAATATTCTACTAAATGTCCTGAGAGAAGTAAAACTTTTTTACTGAAATTGTTCCAATTTGTACGAAACAATTAATTATTAATTGATCCAGTGATAATAGCAGTAATAATTGAATTCCTGTCCTGTATTAGTATTCTACATGGCAGACTCATTGGGACAGGGACAGGAACGCCCTCCTCTCAACTTTCACCACCCAGCTAGAGAATTATTCTCACTCTCAGCCCCTCTGAGTATACCTACTTACTCATGGCATGAAAAATCAAATACTGCCACAGGTGCAGAATGCAGCAGGTGCAATCTACAGCTGAGCTGGGAGGCTGCTGCTGGGGAAAGGAAGGAGGTGATAATATACATTTGAAGAGATATATACATTTCTCTTTCAAGAGAAAATGCAGGGGAGGGTGGCAATGGCACAACTTTGTCCCACTGCCTGTCAAAGAAAAATGTACGCACTGCTCAGCTTTTGGAAGCAGCTCGCCCTCAGGGGACAACGCAGGGATATGAATCCTAGGGAAGGAGGGACAGTCCTGTAGTGCAGATTAAAGCAATGAGAGCTGTGATAAGTAAGGTTTAAATCCTAATTCACTCTTTAGCATGGTTTAAACAGTTCTTTCCTAAGAAATTTAGACTTTTGTGACTCCCTCTGTAAGACATATTCTTTTCCTCTTTCACTGTTTAGGAAGCTTAGGTAACTAAGGCAAAACCGTGCTTACAGACCTGGAATCCAGAGGTCTCAATGTTAAGTATTGCAATAAATTTTGAAATTATCTGTCAGTTCTTGTCTTAGAAGCATTTTATTTATGCTTCTGGGCATCTTGATGGTATCTTACATTTTTTTACATTGTTTTAAGTGGGGGTCGGGGCAATTTGTTTGTCACTGTTTATAGTTTTTGTACCTACACTTATTTTCTAGCATTTTGAATTACACCACTCAAAATCTTTCATATAGAATCTGCGTGCTCTTACTTTTCCAAAACATGAATCCCCCATTGTGACTGAAATTAATCATACAGGCACATTAGAGACAGACTGAAAAATTATACACACACACAAAAAAATCCCAAATTGATGGTTTTACAAGTGTATATAAGTTTTAGTGTCTGCTACTTAAATTTGTCTCAAACATTGTGAGTTGGCGGGGGGGTGGATCCTGTTATCCTGAAGTATACAAGTAAAAAGAATGTAAAAGTTGATCACTCTAAAAATTTCTGTTGGAGAAAAGCAAGTGTGCTTTAATGTCTTGTGTAACTCCTCAACCTCAACTAAGAATCACAAATGTATTTATGACTTCAGAACCTGGGGAAAAAAAAAAGCCATTTAAAATCCTGTTAAGCTTAATAAAAAAGGCATAGTGCCCATTGCCAGCTCCAATGTTTTGCCTTCACATCTTCATTCACTAATAAAAGTTGGTTGTTTGTTTTGTCAGAAATAGCTTTGGAAATTCAATATAGTAAACAGCCATTTTACATAAACATTTCTCCTTGGAAGAGAATTACTGAATTCTGTGTCTGCTCTTCTGGTGCAGCCTATTAATCACATAAGATTACAGAAGCTATACTGGTACAATAAAAGAAACACTACCAAGCAAAATACCATAAATATTTTTCTTAATTTATATTCTTTATTCTCCACTCTGAAAAGTTGCAGATAGGTTACCTGAGGTTTTTTGGGGGGGTTATTTTGTATTGTTTTAATTTAGCTTGTATTGGGGTTTGAGCCTAACTGAGTAGAAAGTGCACAGCACTGTTGCCTTTATAGTAGTTCTGACTAATCTCTCTTCCTGTTTCCTATTATAATGAGTTAAAATACTGTCTGAGTGATTTCTGTCTAGAATGGAATATTGGAGTAGGAATAATTAGCTGTCGTTAATATTCTTTTTATTTCTACACTGCGGATTTGCATTCAGAGACTACAATGACTTAAAAAAAACAGAGGGTGAAATTTTTACATATGGTTATACAATCCTCCTTTGGGAAATAAACATTAATGCTGTAGTCTATCAATACTACAGTAATGATAAAAGCCTGAAATGTTGTAGATTTTTTTGAGTTGTTACAGGTGGCTCACATAAAAATATTACCTTTACTCAGGCTCAGCAGTGGTAAAGTGTATTGACCAAGGAATTCATTTGCAACCAGAGATATCTCATCCTCCACACAGAAGCGTATCAGTGCCAGTTCTGGAACTTGGACAGTAAAAGAAAAAGTTTCGTTCCATCTAGGGCTCAAAGCTAATGAAAAGAGAAAATACACAGTATCAAAATACCATTTAATTTATTCTACTCAATAACTGAATTATTGTATCTGCTATCACTAGTCTGAACTGGTAAAGATTGGTTCTTTTTCCCTAGATTTCTGTGCCCATTTAAATAAATGTTGAGTGTTCCACTGACTGCAGCGATATATAGGTCATATCTTTTGTATAGATTATGGAGTTAAAACTGTCAGAGGGAAGTTCTGAGAATGAAGCAAATATAGAGAGCTTGGGACTTGCCTACAGTATGCAGGCCAGCCCTTTCTAAGGATTTGTCTTGCATTAGCTACATAAAACTGTAATTCAAAAGCTTAAGCAAGTTGGTGTCATGTCTTAGAAGAGAGCAAAATGGGACAGCATTAGCCAGGTTAAGAACCTCTGCTCAACTTGAATTTTCCTATAGCCATACCAGTTTCATGTTTTTGCCAAAGTTTCTCCTTTTACAGTGCTGGAAATGAGGCAGGAGCTAAATAAATTAAGGTAGTAAAACGGTCGCTTGACGAAAACTCAAAAAAGAGGATGTGGAACAGAAGGGTGGTGTTTTGTCTTGAGCAACATTCATACCAAGAGAAAAGGGATTTAGAAGTCAATTTAAAACAGCAGCCATCTACAAAAAGGAAAAAGGAAAAATAGAGGAAAGAGGCACAAAAGAAAGGAAATCACAGGGAACCTTTAGTCTGAGACATCAAGATCTATATGATAAAGGTAAGGGAATGCTTGAAGAGAACTACAAGGACTACACACTTCACCTGTCAAGTAATTAAGGGACTAGTTCTACTAGAAACTTAATATGAGCTAAGTGATAAAGTCACAGAAATTTCTTCAGAAAAAAATGCCTTTGAATTTACCAATTGGTGTACTGGTTTTGTTTGGGATAGCGTTAGTTTTCTTCATATCAACCCGTATGGTGCTATGATTCGGATTTGTGACTAAAACGATGTTGACTGATAACACACAAATGTTTGAGCTATTGCTGAACAGTGCTTACACAGTTTCAAGGACTTCTCTCTTTCTCATGCTGTACCCCCCTCCTCATCCCAGTGAGTAGGCTGGGGGTGCACAAGAAGTTGGGAAGTACAACTGACTGTACAACTGGTACAGCTGACCCAACTGACCAAAGGTGTACCCCAAGCCACATAACATCTTGCACAGCATAAAAAATCTGGGGGAGAGAAGGAGGAAGGGAAAACATTCAGAGCTACAGCGTCTGTCTTCCCAAGTAACCATAACACATAACAAAGCCCTGCTTTCCTGGAAATGGCTGAACACCTGCCTGCTGAAGGGAAGTGGTGAATGAATTCTTTATTTTGCTCTGCTTACACACGCGCTTTTGCTTTACCTATTAAACCGTCTTTACCTCAACCCAAGTGTTTTCTCACTTTTGCCCTTCCAACTGTCCCCCACCCCACTGGTGGGGAGAGTGAGCAAGCAACTTTCTTCAGGAGAGTGCTGCTACTAAGAGAGTTTGTGCTTCCTTCGCCTACTGGTCCACAAAAATGGCACATAGCATGAACTTCTGCTACAGATTTTGTGCCAGAAAAGCCTAGTCTAACGAGAAATAATTGCAGTCTCTGTAAGTACACAAGAGCTTCTTGGGATGGAAACATGGTAATTCCTTATAAAACATAGTTGTGCTTTGTTCACAGTCAAGAGAATAAGACTGATGCTCACCATTGCTTTTTATAACACTAGATTTTTTTTTCGTTTGATCTTCTGGCACACCGTAAATTTCTATCTGCACTAAAGGGTCAGCTTTGTTAGTCTTCGACAGGTTACTGGGTGGTAACTGATGACCACTGATGAGCTGGAAAATTAAAGTTGTAATGTGTTGAAATAACTGTAAGAATGAACTTTACATAGTAGCCATATCATAAGTAGCCATAGCAGCAAAAATTGTTCCATAAGAAACTACTATAAGAAACATATACCAGCCATAAACTGTTATAAAAATACATATTAAACACAATGACATTAAGAATATGATGCTTTCCATTTATTTTAATTCTTGGTTAATGTCATAGAATGATAGAATCATAGAACAGTTTGGGTTGGAAGGGACCATTAAGGGTCATCTAGTCCAAACCCCTGCAGTGAACAGGGACATCTTCAACTAGATCAAGTTGCTCAGAGCCCCACCCAACTTGACCTTGAATATTTCCAGGGATGGGGCATCGACAACCTCTCTGGGCAACCTGTAACAGTGTTTCACCACCCTCATCATAAAAAAAAAAAAAAGTCTGATATATTTTAAATAATAATTTTCAGATTTAAGTTTTTATTCAATAACTAGCCATAGAAACTATATTTGGCTACATGCAAAATAATAATTTTGGAGGAATCAGTCTCATGATTTTTGCATTTTCTGAGCTTAAGATCATGAATTCCTATTAAAGCTTTGTCTAGTGGACAAAGACTAAGACTGCCTCACCTGTGTTCCTTCTCTTTCACAGTAACACATAAAAACCGCATTTAGCAAGCTCCCTGTTTTTCTTCTCCTTAATTTAGTTAGCTACCTGCAAATTTTGCCTCAGACTGCCCTGTAATCTGGCACCCAGCCTAAGAAAGGATTTATGAAAGTCACAACTTTGTCTGCTTTCTATCTATATTTCAGGACACCTAGGAGAGAATCACCATCTGTACAGTAATCTGCTTTTTGGAATTGAATGTATCAAGAGAGATATACAAGCCTGCAAGCCTGGGTGAAAGATACGACTCTTATGGTCCTGATCTCAGGACTAAGCACTGAAACTTATGATACGGATTTTTATTCCCCTGTCAACCACCCAAAAAAATTAAACCCCACAAATTCCACCTTTTGCTTAGGTATTTTCTATAACATCTTGCTCTGAGAAAAGTTCTAGCCTGAAACAATGAAGAGCAGTGGCTTAGAAAACCCTGATGTTGTCCTCTTTCTTCTTAGAAAAATAGCTACTACCTTCACTGGAAAGCTTTGCGAGATGCAAGCACAGATGGGTTGCCCTCAAAGAACCTGGGGAGGTTCTTTGACATGTCCTGAATGTCATGACTAAAATTCAGCCACATTGGCCAAGTCCTGCTTCCTACACTTACACCATAGCTAGACCCTGTCCAAGTCTCCCACAGCATGGGAAAAGAGCAAGCTGTTTTCAGCACACTATGACTCAAATTCATATATACAATCAATTTTTGAGACCCAAGGTAAAGCAGACATACAGAGAGAGCAGTAAATAACATGGTAAGCTCAGAAGTTTACATATGAAGTACTTTGAATATTTGTGTTTCTTCTTCAAAGGCTATATGCTTCTGATTGATGGGAATTGTGGCACGTCAGGTTAAGGGTATTGAATTCAGTAAAATCAGGCCCTCCGTGATTTTTGTGTTCACTTATGTTCTTCTCAGTCAGAGAGATTTGACCCCTGGATATTTTATATCTTTGCCCTCTAACTGTTAAGTAATTTCTCCACGCATCAAATTAGAAACTCTTCTTTAGCAGAAACTGTTTTTCCTTTGTCTCCTGCTCCTGACTCTTTTTGCCTTCAACCACCATTTGCTGTGTTTCGCTGCTGACTTAAGAATGGGGCTCTCTGCGCCCTACAGTCCCTCAGCTGCTGGGGTGCCATTGCTTCTCCGTATCTTGCACCACCCAGCCTGGCGTCTCCTCAGTCTAAAATGCTGCCTTTCTCTTTTCCAGCTTCTTCCAAACTCAGACACAGACATTTCCTTCCCATTCTCAAGGATTTTGTCTGTCTCCTGCATTACAATCGGGGATTTTTTCCTCATCTTAATTAACTCCAGCTTTATAAAAATAAGGGCTAAAATAACTGATGTATATGCATGGGTGCTTGAAATCATCCAGAAATGTCTATTCGGAATTGGTATGCTCACTGTTAGGACACTAAAATGTTCTTGATTAGGCGCATGCATTATGTAAGTATTTTATAATTGTTATTAGTTAATGTTTTATCTATCTCCACTATTTATTTCTCTGAAAGAAACAAAATAACAATTCTACACTGATTTTATGATTATTAAATAGCATTTATGCAAGTAGCGTACTTTGTAATCAGAAATAGCACTTTTTCATTGGGAAAAGTAGTTTTCTAACTAGTGAACAATTATAAAACATCTACTTGACCTCAAAAGAAGGGTTTTCCTAACCCATTAGTTTTAAATTACATGTATTTCTAATATTTTTAAGAAGTAAATCAGATCTGAATTTGGGAGAAGTAGAAAACATTCAAAGGCTTATTGATTCTTCCCCCTTTTCACACTTATTTATATCATTTTTAGGATGATAAATAGTCTTTCATGTAAGCATAGGAAGATAATGAAACTTATAAGAAGCATAAAGCTTCCTATCGTATCTTTAAAGATTTCCATTTGTCAATTAACATTATAATAGTACATGTGAGATTACTGATACTTAAAGAAAATAACACCAAGAGTGCACATTTGATTTCTGAGTTTTCAGAGTTCAGTCCCCACAACCATAACTGACAAGTCCCTGTGTCAGCTACGCTTGTGACACAATACAAGGTATATTTATATTTCTATACACAACACCATGAAAAACCATGTATTTTTACAAACTCTTAGAACTTTTGAACACCTACATTTTTCTAGCAGACATAAGTGAACTACAGATGGGAAACCATCCAAGCAGCAATAGATACTATATGAGAGTTTTAACATGATTAAAAAAAAAAACTGTTAAACTTTCCAACAATGAGGAATGGGGATAAAATCAGAAACCGATAATAGATAACAGATAGGTCTGAATTACATAACGTTGGTTTTCATATTTTATGGAACAAATCGCCAATTAACTAATCTTACCCTTATTGACAGAGACATTGGTTTACTGTATCTTCCCACATTTTGTGGGGTAAATGTTGAATTGCGATTTCTCAAGAATTCTGGTTTCAGAATATAGCCACAACCACCATTGTCAAGAAATTTTCCATTTTGCAATTCCATTTGTACTCCCGGTGTCTGGAAGTTTAAGGCCACTATAAAAATAAATAAATATTGATTTTAGTGAATTAGAGTTGATACCATTTTATAAAACATCTCTCTGACAATAATAGTAAAAACAAAAGCAAAAGAGATTAAAAATATATATCTTTCAACTCATGTGTAAGATATGGTTATTTCTCTTAAATTTAGCAGTATTCAATAATGAATGATTCATGTGCAAAAGAAGTGCACTATTTAGAACTCCACCACATTTTAAGCATTACCCTCTAGATCTTTTTTCCACTGCTATGTGTTGTGCATTTTCCCTTTTCTTTCTAAATTAGACCTTGGAGAATATGAAATGAGAGATCTTTTTCTCCATAAGGAGTAATTTCACATACTACTTTCTCTACAGTGGCAAAACCCTGCACCCTGAATCTGCTTATAAAGTGCTAGTGCAGAAGGCAAAAAAGTGGGATTGTAACTAACCTTAGTTATGGTGCAGAATTCATCACAAAAGCATGTCACCCAGAAGATCAAGAAGTTTTAGTTTAGAGTTAAAATACTCAGTGCAAATACATACAAGTTTATAGAAGCA